AACGGTAGTATGGGAGAAAGTAGGGCAGAACTGGGGGATTGGAGGTGGAGGGGGAGGAGAGAGGGCAGGTCTCAGTGTAAGTGGGGCAGCCTCAGAGCAGTGAGGGCTGAGCAGACTTGAAGAAGGTGAGGAATCTGCTAAGAGCTCTCTGGGGAAAGTGCTCCAGGTAAGGGAACACCAGGACAAGGGCCCTGAGGTGGGGTGTCCCTGTGTGTTCAGGAAATGGCAGTGTCTATGTGGCCAGTGTGGCCAGCGTGGACGAAGAAAAGCCAAGGACAGTGGCAGGCCTGTGGGAGGTGCTCAGGTTCTGGTAGGTCTTGCAAGCTGTTGTCAGAACTTTGGCTTTTACTATGAAAAAGTGAGAGACATCGGAGGGTGTGCAGCCAGGAGGGATGTGATCTGGTGTGTTTGAAAAGGATCCTCTAGTTGTGTTGAGAATAACCGGTATGGACAAGGCGGGGACTTGATTTGAGCGCAAAGGCTACAGTTACAAAGGATGGTGACTCAGACCATGCTGGTGGCCATGGAGAGTGAGAAGTGACTGGGTCTGGACACCTTTTGGAGGTAGAGTCAAGCTAATTTCCCAACAGATTGCATGTGATATGTGAGAAAGGGAGAGGAGTCCAGGGTGACTCCGTGCATTTGGACAACATGCAGGGTGAAGTTGCCATCAACCAACGTGGGCGAGACGAAGGAAGAGCCAGTTTGGGCAGCGTCAGGAGATCAAATTCAGACAGGTTATGTTTGAGTTTCGAGACTTCTGAGTGGGGCTGTGGAGCACGCATTAGGCATGTGAATCTGGAGAATTAATTCTCCCTATTGATCTCAGATCTGAGGGTAATTTTTTAATCAGTGGATTCATTTTTACTGACCAAAAAAATACAGATAAGAATGACATCTATCAATTTTATCCCAACAAAAGCCAAGGATAATTTTCTAAAATCCTATTCCAAGGAGAAGAACCTGTCAAATTATAATAGGATTTGTTCTAACAGTTAACTTTTAAGGTTTGTTTTTTATTTGTTTGTTTCATTTTGTTTTGTTTTGTGACTCAAAATATATTTTCCCAGAGAAATAATTTTATGACTCATGGTCATAAAACTTTGGGCCAAGTCTCAGAAGTATATCCAATCTATAAAAGTAACAGTATATTTGCAAAAAGCAAACAAAAGAAAGCAACACTACCAAGGTACTAGTAATTAAACAAACATACAAAACTTAATGATATTGGAGCTTTGTGCTTTCCCATTTTATAATTTGTGTGTTGAAATAGAATTTATCAGCCAAACCCTCTCCCCAAGCAATGACAAAGACTCTTCATTTCACTGAACTGAGGGAGGTGGTCCAAGAATCTTGCTTCTTGGCAGCAGACCAAACTAGGGCAGGAGGCAGATTTGTGTATGCAAGGAACCTGGGGACCCAGGCACAAAGAACTCTCCCAGACTACAGCCTACCATTAGAGACAGATTTGGGATAGTAAGCTCTATTTTAAGCCTCATTTAAACTTTGATGGGGATCATTTTAGTCAGATCCAAACTAAGTAGAGCACCTGAGAATGTACATTTTTAGTGAGGCAGGATAAAGGAAAGGCATTTTTGAATAAAAAAGTATGAGCTCAGATGGGGTCTCTTGGGCCACAGACAGCAGGGGGCCCAGGAGAGGAAGTGAGGGATGGCCTGCAAGGCGGAGAGGAAGCAGGAGATGGATTGAAGGCACAAAGACAAGCTTGGCTTAGGTTCTAGAAGCTGCTGCTGTGATATCAAGACTTATTTTCACAGGTTATCAATGTTTGAGTTATGCCGTCAGGTCTAGTTGGAAAAACTACACTTTTTAGTCTTTCCTTATTTGATACAAGTTTTCCATTTTCAGCTCATCCAAGCTGGCTTCCCAGTATAAATCCCCCTCACTCAGTCCCTACCTGAATCTTATTATAGGAAAGGAAAGGGAAAGGGAAAGGGAAAGGGAAAGGAAGGAAGTGGGGATATTTGTGTCGCCATTTTACCATTCCATTCTCTCCCATCTTTTCTGTGAAGGTGAGTTAGTATTTACACAGTTTCCTAGTAAAAGGCCTTTGGGATCATAGGACCCTCAAATGTCGCAGGGCTATCATGACTTTCTCTTTTCATACTTTCTGTGTTGATGATGATAATTAGGTTTAATATTTGTATTTCTTCCTAGATCACAGATTTAATGAGGCCAGGCACTATATCCTGATGGGGTTCAGAACAGACTACCTGAAAACATGACACCTTGGCATATAGAACATTTTAAGTTGAGGAATTTGAGAAATGGAAGGCGCAGGAAGGTCTCTCTGACTTCTCCATTCTTCCCTGAAGCAGGTAATAAGATCCTGTAGGGGAGAAGAAAGTTTTCCTCAGCCCTGTTAGGGTCCCTGGCTGGGTCTGAAAATTAAATTGACAAAGACAGGTTAATAGGATGAAAGCATACAAGTTGATTTAATATAAGTTTTAGGTGACACCGGACCCTCATAAGGAAATGAAGACCTGAAGAAACAGAGAGGCCTGAGTACATTTCTGCTGGGTTTGATGAAGAGTGGACGGTGGTGGAAGAACACGATAGGACAAGGAGTATGAGGTCAGTGTTGTGAACTGAGAGAAACTTAGCAAGGCCTGTTTGTTTAGATTCTTCTCAGTGTCCCTTTGTCTTTGGAGATAAGAAGCCTCCTTTGCTCTGTGTATAGAGAGGGCACCTGTCACATGAGGATCTTATGACCTGTTTCGGGGAGAAGGGTCGGGGAAGTTCAGAGTGACTTTGCTTCTGCTGTTTTTCAAACTCCTTCAGCTTAATATAGTCAATATGCTAAGATGCCATATTTGGGGTGCCGTGTCCTGAACCCCATCAACCCTCATGTAAGAGTTGCTCTTCCTAGACCTGAAGGAAAAGAACATCCTTATCTCTGAAGACAGAGGAATGCTGAGGAGAATCTGAATGGTCTTGCTCAGTTTCCCCATTTAGTGCACTTAGCTCATAGCTTTTGTCCCATCATGTTTTTCCATGACTTTCTACCCTTCATCAAATCTAGCATAAAAACCACTGAGGTTTAACCACTTTTGTGGGTCTTCATTTCCTTATGAAGGCTCTGTTGTCACATAAAACTTCTATTAAATAAACATGTATGCTTTTCACCTGCGGCTCTGCCAGTCTATTTACAGGGGCCCAGCCAGAGAACCAAAAATGGGTAGAGGAAGAGATTTTTTTCCTCTCTTACATTCCCTTGTTCACAATAATGTCCTAGGTGTGTAGGCGCAGTGCCTTGTGTAGAGTGGTTGCTCAGGAAATATTTAATAAATGAATGTGTGAACAAGTGAGAATGAGGAACAGGCTATAGACTTTTGGTGGAGATCCCTTAGAATAACATCTGGGAACTTTCATTGATTATAGAGGTTGATGGCACTGAGTGGTTATTAAGTCTAATTTCACTTCAAAAAGTAAGGCTTTCCTGTTTCCTGATAAAGGTATCAGCAACAGTCCTCTTGTATTTAAGCAGTCATCCCAGAGCTATGGTATTTTATAATTCTTCTATTTCTACAACTCTTGAATCTGGGCTTGCCTGTGACTCTCTTTGACCAATAAAATGTGGTAGAAGTGATGTTGAGATGGTCCTGGGAACCTAGGTCTTATGAGCTTGTAGCTTCCACTTTCACCCCTTCGGAATGCTGTATTCTGCATATATGGAAATTCAGGCTAAATCACAGGATGATGGGGGGCCTTGTGTCTGGGTAGTACCTATACTCATGAGAGTAAATAAGGAACCAAAGATAGTTGGGGGAAAGGGCTAAGGCTAGTTCACCCACTGACACCAGAGAAAAGGCAGAATATCTGGGAACAGATACAGGTAATTGGTTGAGGGAGTGGTGAGGCAAATGGAAGATCTCTTATAATTGCTATTTTTGTTAAACAAGATGTAGGAGTTGGCAGGCAGGTAGGCAGACAGGCAGGGAGACTGTGTTGGAGCTTTGAGAAGAAGGAGGGTGTGAACAGCCATCCAAATGAGTGGGCAAGTGATTTTACCAGGGAAATGTAGTACAGTTGCCTGGCAGCACCAAAAGTCTCCTTGATGTTTACTGTCATTAAAATGAGCAAGGCTGGTTTGTTTTTCTCCAGCCACATTCGCTTGCCCAAGAGCAGTTCCAGAGTAAGCAGAGTCAGGGGTTTTCCAGACAAGAAGAAAGGAAGGAGGGAGAGGCAAGGAGGTTGAGGGTCTATGCAAAAGAGTAGCTAAAATGATGAAACACTGAATTTATACTGGGTAAAAAGGGAGTGTGAGTAAGAGCAGATGAATAAAAAAAAGTGAGAGTTCTGTTGCAGGTGAGAATTATTGGCACTAGGCAAGGTGAGCCGGAATGACGGGAGGTAATCGTGGGCTGCTTGAAATTGATACTGTGGATCACACAGTTATAAGTAATTAGTAAGTTCAAGGTTATGATCCTGGGAATAGTGGCTGGGTTAGAAACTAAAAGGCTGCATAGACATTGCAGGAGTCATCTATATAGATACTGAAATCACCATAACTTATTAATTGAGCCGACTGTATTACTGGCTATTATTTCTGCTGGACGATCGCAAGCGATGCTAACTTTTCATTGAGAGCACTCACCACAGTTTGTACTGGTCGAGTGATTATTGACAGTAATCAGGACTAACAGTCTGTTTTGCTTACTGACATATAGTTGGCGCTCAAAGGCAAAATGAAAAAAAAAATTCTATTCTAGCTATGGAACAAATATAATAAATTATAGCGCCAACGAGTTTTTATATGAAAGTGAAGGCAAGGCTCCACGCGGGTATACATATATTTTTGTCTCCTGTACTCCCTGCTGTTTCTCGGTGCTTAAAGTAGTGCTTGAAACATATTAGGTGTTCAATAAATATATATTGAATGAATAAATAACGAAGCATCTTCAGTTCCCCTATCGCGCCTGCGCGAGATGCCCATGGTTCTGACGAGCCCTGGCTCTCTGCGCCTGCGCGGCCTCGGCCTGCGTCGCGCCCTGACCATCTCCGGGCCTTACTTTGCCATATTAGGTTTGAGCCCTGCTGGCCCCTGTAGCCGGTGGGCTGTGGCGCTGTCCCGGCTTCCTGCTAGGCGTTCCCGCGCCTACTCAGGCAGCTGTCGTCCTCCACGTCAGGGGCCGGGCTGTGGAGATGGCGGCTCAGAAGATAAATGAAGGGCTGGAGCACCTCGCCAAAGCTGAGAAATAGTGAGTGAGAGACTCCAGCGTGGGCGTCTGTACGGGCTCTGGGGCCATGCCTCGGTCTGGCCGGGGCTTGGTGCCCGGGGTTGGAGAGAGGGCGCGGGGGCAACCGAGTGGGGGTGGCGCTGGCGGCCTGGGAGGGCTGCGCTTACCGCACCTCCGGAAGCGTGGTTGGTCCGCGCGCCGGAAGTCCGCGCTCCTCTGCTGGGGAATACTCTGCTGCAGTTTCCGCTTTGAACAGGGTTTCACGACCTCGGCCTTTTGGACTGGAGGATTCCCTGTGGTGGAGGCCACCTTGTGCCTTGTAGCATGTGTAGCAGCATCCCTGGCCTCTACCTACGAGATGTCAGTAGCACCCTTCCCCTCCCTCCCTATTTGTGACAACCAGAACTGTCCCAGGAGGAATAAAATCGCCCTGTTGAGAACCACTGTTCTAAAAGACTACCTTGTGTTAGGGATTGGGCTACAGATTTACCCTGAATTTTCCTCGGTGACTCCTTGTCATGTCCCTTTATACTGTTCTGGGGGCAAGAACTGCGCTTCCTTAGTACTTTTATTATGTTTGTTCGGCCAGCTTCCGGCACGGTACGTAGTAGCTACCTAACAAATATTTGCGGAATTGAATTGATTCTGCCTGATCAGTTTTTGACGCTCCCCTCCATTTCGGTTGCATTGCTCCAACAAATTTTTATCTGGCAGTTAGAGATAACTAAAAGTCCTCGTTGTGTTCTGTGCTAGATGCTTCACATACCTAATCTGACATCCCCACAACTTACCAAATAGAGATTCTCATTTTACAGAAAAGGAAATGAGGCGTGGAGAAGCCTCATAATAACTTATCCAAGGTTGCACAGTGAAAAGATGGCAGAGCCAGTTTTCAACCAGTGGAAAAACTCAGGTTCTTTCTGTTTTACCACATTATGTACTTCCAGGCACTGTGGAAAGTTACTGGGGCTTTTTTTGGTGCAGGTGCCCACAATGATCTATTGAGAGCAGATACAAAAATATTATTAGAACAGCATGTGTAATAAGGACTTTACCAAAGCTGTGTTAACTGTGCTTTGGTAACACAGAGAAGTTTATTTCTGCCTGGGAGAATTTAGGAATATTCACAGAGGTGATTTCTGAGCATGGCCTGAAAAATAAATTTTTAGTTGAGGGAAAATCCTGTGAGAGAGCCTATACACAATATAGTAATGAGCGCAGTCTTAAAAAATGTGCTGGGAGAATAGTGACTGTAGAGTAGTTGTAGTGCCCGGGCCTGAGCTAGAGTGGAGAAGAGTTGGGGCCAGACTGCGAAGGGGCTGCCCTGCCCCTCTAATGGCCTTGAACTTTAGCTTTTCTAAAGATTGAATAACCAGCGGGACCTGGTTAGATTTATTTTTTGGCAAGAGAAATATGGTAGAGAAAGGCCAAGGGAATGGAGAGGAGAGTGAGAACTTTGGCATATTCAGTAAGCAAACATTTACGAAGTCGTCACATTACACCGGCTAATGGGGTTACTGAGGTAAAAAGTAGTCTCTTCCTCAAGAGCTTAGGATTCACAGGAGGGCAAGTAAATAGATGAGTAAAAAGAAAGTATTGAATGTTAGAATAGAGGTATGCAGTGGCTTCAGTGGAGATAAAGTATAAGGAAAATTTGCTACTCTCAGGATGGGAGGCCTGAAAGAGGACAGCAGAACCTGAAGGGTGATCTCTGCATTACAGGCCAATAGGCTGTCATGACAAGGGCCCGAATTAAAGCAACAGTACAGGGGCTTGATTGTGACATTCCTCAGACAGAATTGACAAGCTTTAATGACTTGGCTGGATGTGGAGAGAAAGGCTTGACCCCTAGGTGAAGTAGAGGAGAGACCTTCAGCCAAAACAAGACCAATGAACATGATGGGTGGGTAGGGCTGAGACAGGGAGATGTTGGATTAAGGCTTGAATGTGTTATGTTTGAAATGCCTATAGACAGAGTTGCTCAATAGGTGGCAGGAAAAATGGGCCCGGAGTTTAGGAGAGATTTGGTATTTCTCATCTTCTAATCATAATATGGTTCAATATTATTGAATAGTTTTGTAATTATAATTAATCCCCTTAAACAGGTGGTAGTTTTGTGGATTTTGGGCCTATGGAAATTGATCAAAGTGTTGGCCTCAACAGAATTTTCTTATTGACTCTTGACAAAAATAGTCAGAAGCTGTAACAGGTGTAGCCATTAAACTAAATTAACCAGGGTGTCTTCTCTCTTCCTAATTAGAGATGCTTAGTTGACTGGGGATGATATGCTATATTTTTAAGTTTCTAGCTCTTTCCTGTGTAACCCATTAGACATTTGAATGATTATATCTTGTTTTTGATGGGATTTAAAACATGTTAGTATATTGAATATAATGAGTGCTTTGAGGTAGGAGTAGAGGATTAAATTTTTGCTTTTTTGTGTACTTTCAGTATCGTGGATTAGAGTGGATAGACTGCAATTGAAAGATTTCTCTGAGCAATAATATTCTTTGTAAGCTTGAAAAATTGCTTACCAAATTGAATCGCATACAAACACAAATATTAAATTAATTGGCAAAAAATGTTCTTCAAAAGGGCTGATGGGCAATTCACACAACTGTCACAAATGAAGGTGTACCTCTGAGGGCCCTCGGGGATTCTCCATTCTCAGTTAAGGTCCTCCCCTGATGTCTTTGAAGTTAACAGTGTAATAGGTAAGCAGGCTTTCACTAATCAAATTGAAATTTAGAATTTAAAATGGTATTTATTTAGCAATTCTTATGTACACCCAAGCTTGATAGAGTTAGTTTAAACTGGAAATATGAAATTATTTCAAAATAAAAAGAAAAATAAATTATTGCAGAAAGGGCAAGTAAGATAAGGACTCCAAATTGATTATCCTTTGGTAGGTATCTGAAATGCCAATAGTGATCCTGGAAAGCAGCTTCTCTTTGTTTTCATAACATCTTTGTCTTTCTGATAACTCTCCTGTTCACTGGTGGCTAGTTCCCACCCTTTTTTGGTGAGCCCCTCTGTTGTTCCTCTGAATGTTTGTATTCCTAAATCTTTCTGCCCTTTCTCTGAGGTCTTCCTAGGGGATCTTAATTGGGCTCTTGGTATGGCATATGCTGATGACGCCTCAGTTATTATCTCTAGCCTCTCCTGAGCTTCACTCTACTTATTTGGTACAGTGCTTCAGTGGGCTTCGGGCTTTAATGCGCCTCAAGGCTTGTTATACCCTGGATTTTTGCTGCCACGCCAGAGTCTCTAGTTCAGTATTTTCGGGGCTGTGCTCAACAATTTACATTTCTAGCATATTTTGAGGTAATGCTGGTCTGAGTACCATGCACTGAGAATCTCTACTGTACTTCCATGTTATACAGGTCAAAAGAAAGAAAACCATGTCTATGGCAGTGGGAGGGAAAATGGTGAGGTTGTACTTAATTGTTATGGTTGGATGGAGGTGAGCAAGGTGGGGACTTGGTACCTTTCTTTTAATGACCCATAAAGTCATTACAAGCAGAGTTCTGACTTATAAATGTGACTGATAAAATCTGTTAAATGTGTCTTCCTTTCACTTTAGCCTGAAAACTGGTTTTTTAAAGTGGAAGCCAGATTATGACAGTGCTGCTTCCGAATATGGAAAAGCAGGTACGTGTAACTGTAACTCCAATGTGTAATTGTAAAGTAGGCTTACTTCCTCTCAGTATAATGCTTACTCTTAATGCTTCCTATAAGATTCTAATAGTTAAACAACAACAACAATGTGCCCAAGCCCTTGTGTTTTTCCACTTGTTATTTTCAGATGTGTTGAGGGCTGAGTCAGAGATCCGGCTACCTCTGCCTCATTCTCATGACAGCAGAGATGGATAGGCTTGGCAGTACTCAGCTGCATGTTTTTAGCATTGTTTATATATTCTTGAACTTCAGTCAGTTGCATACTATTTCCAAGAGTTTTGCCTTATTCCTCTATTATAGTTCCTGTTGTTGACTAAAGGTTTTTCTTTAACTTTTTAAAATAGTTTAGCCTTATTCTAAGCAGATCTGAAATGATGTGTTTGACACATGTTTTTTCATGAGCCTTACTTTGAGATACACTGATAAACTTTCATGTACTGTTAAGCTACATAAATATATGAATAAATTTGTATATAAGATAAAAACTATCTGAAATAAGCAACAGACAGGGACTTTACTAAAAAGTTAGTATTTTTAATTATGGAATTGCTTTCTGCATATCCACTATTATTTTGGATATAAAGCATAATACAATTCAAAGTACCTTGAATACATTTTATAGTTGTGTTGCTGTAATAAGCCCTGACCACACTTGTTACCCTAGCACAGAGATCATGTAGGTATTGTGCTTTGGGAAAACTTTAGTTTTAGTATATCACCAAAGAAAAAAGACATTGGGTAAATTGAAACTAATCAGTACAATAAAGGTTTTATTTTCTAATAAAAGTGAAAGCAAATGAGTCTTTAGCACTTTTATTAAAATGTGGAGTAAATTCTCTCTGATAGTTATATATCATATTTGAAAAGAAAATGATATATCATATTTAAAAGGAAAATTATGAAAAGTTCAAACTATATGGATTTTATAGACACTTCGTACGAGAATACTTTTGTTGTATATGCATTTAAGACCATGAGCTGCTTTCAAAAATAAATATTTCAGGTCAGATTTTCCCATTAAAGCATCCTTTATTTTCTTTTAATGGGTTATGCAAAATACATTTAATCAGTAGAATAAATGTAGAAATCCAGAGAGGGAAATAGTTTCAGTAGGTGGTTTATTTTCAATATTTTATTAAAGAGAATTTTAAGAGTGTTTTTAACATAACTTTTTTTAAAGCAGTATCCTTTTTACTTATTTGTAAGCAGCCTTTGGTAAGTTTGCCAAAATCTTTAATACCATATTTCAGATCCAATTCTAATTGTTTTGTTCTGATGATGACACAATAGTGAGCAATATGTTTTAGCTCTTCGGATGCTGAGATTTCTTTTTCATGGAAACCTAAACAGTACAAGAGCTTTATTTTAAAAATGCATTGTTAATTTTTTAGACATTCATTTAAAGGCCATGTCAAAGAGGAGGCCTATTATTAAAAAAAAAAAAAATTTAATGTGTTGGTCTTTATTTCTAACTAATTTAAAAGATGAAATAAGCTATAACTAAAGTACTGTTTTGATTAAATATAAAAACTGATGAAATAAGTCACTGTCTTTTGTGACAGTACCTGTTATTTGGGCGTATTGTTTTGGCTGATGTAACCTTGGTTTCTCAAAGCTTAGATGTTGGTGTTAGAATGACTCCCTGGTTTTTAGTGGAAGTAGCACTAATTTGTAGCCAATAGTTTACAATTTAAAAAAAAAAAACAACTTTTGGAAATAACTAAGCTATTGATAAAAAAGTGGTAAGAAAATTGCTTTAGAAAAAAATGGCATTTTATAGTTTTTGTTGAAGCTAATATTTGATTAAAATATTTTCTAATTCTTCACACATGATAAATATTTTGGTAATAATTCATTTGAGGGTTTTTTTTAAAATGATGGAAATAGAAAGTCTCTCTTTGTTGTTCTATTTCAGCTGTTGCTTTCAAAAATGCCAAACAGTTTGAGCAAGCAAAAGATGCCTGCCTGAGAGAAGCTGTTGCCCATGAGAATAACAGGGCGTATCTTTTTCAGCCTTTAAAAAGGACTTGACAATTCAATGATTTTGAAAGACATGAATTATTTTTTTCTTATTATACATTTGCTACATGTGGAGTACAATGGCATTAAATTAGAAAATGATTAGAAAAATTCTGTATATATAAACTCTGTAGGAGCATTTATAGAGACTTCTGATCATAAGGCCCATACTGCTTTGCAGAGCTACGTTTGAGGGTTTATTTCTGTTGTTTCTGAATGTGCTTGATGATGGTTTTACTTGGGATGAAATGAGGGAAATCTGTAGACAGGTGCTGATGAATGAAGAGGTAGCACAGGTGGTGTGCAAACTGCTGTATAAATATTTTTTAAATATAGTCTTCAGGTATTTGAAATAAGATTTATAACTGATTTAAAACAATACATTTTCCTGAGATATTTTAGAACTTGTACTTGAAAATGTTTATTTTGTCTCACTTGCTAATTATGGTTATCATAACCTTGCATTTTAGTAAAATTCTTCAAATGAATGCATAACTATTATAAAGCATAATAGTTTAAAATCTATGTGTTGTTCTTGTGAATTAGTCCTAAGTGATGTCTCTCAGGACTACACCGGTAGTCTTGTTTGTAGGATTTGCTTTTTGGATTATAGCTGGGACAGTGATTTAGTTACCTTTGTCTTTTAAATAGTAAATCTTTAGAAATGATTGATTTGCTTTTTTTCCTTAATTTTGGCTTTGTTACATCCATTCAGTCTTTTTCATGCTGCCAAGTAAGTAAATATTCTCCCACATTTTCATGTTTGCAAATTATTATATTTTAAATGTTGTCGTTTTCCCACAGGTCAGTAATTTTTTCCTAAATTATAAATTCGTAAATAGTGAATTCTTTTGTATTGATTTAAATACAAGTCATTTACATTCGTTTCAGTAGTCATCTGAACCTTAAAAACCAAGCTCTTTCCTTAAATATGCTGTGTTTAAATTAAATTCACCCTAATATTTTTAGGATCATTATGTTCAGTAACCTAAGAAAAAGCAAGTTAGAATCTCTTTTTTCCCCTCTTTCTTGGTAGTTACTAGTGCCTACAGAGAAAAGTAGGATGCTTTATCTTGTGTTTATGGAGAGTATTTGTTTCAAAACTTGGATTTAGGTTTGTCAAAGAGTCATTTAATCTTTTTGAGTCATACTTAATTTTGCATCTGCAAAATGAAATCCCTTCAACACAGATAGCTGATGTTTCTAAGGCATTATTATTGCCTACGAAAATTAAAAAAAAAAAAATATGTTGTGGACTAGTACAAACCTAAAGTAATATATAGTGCCTGAGCCAGTTGAAAGTGAAATTAATTCCCTTACCTGTAATAGAAAATTTCTCCTTCCCCTTATTTAAGATCTCATCCGAGAAATTATATTTTCTTTGCAGAGCTTATGAGCAAGCTGGCATGATGTTGAAGGTCAGTAATGTGTCACAACTGTTCTTTAGGTAAAATGAATTAACTACAAGGTATTGAAGTAAATTTTTTGAGGTTAAAAAGTCTCTTTGCTATAAGGGGAGAAATGTTAAGATTTTTTGTCCAAAGCAATGCTAGTTGGGCCCATAGGGTACATTGTGTGTGTCATAAAACAGGGAGTTTTAAAAGTGAAATTTTAGAGACTGCATTGGAGGGAAATGGGAACCACAAGATTCTAAGCTTTGTAACCAGGGGAGAGTGTATCGTTAAACAGAGCTATGCAGGAGGTTTCCCTACTTTTGAGAACTGTAGGACATCTTAATATATTAAAAATTTACAAGTATATGTTTTTTACTACCCATGGGCTATAGAGAGATTTTTGATTGTTTTATAAATATCAGTTGACATCAAAGAGAACCATAGACTTAACCTGTTGCTATATAACTGATTATTTTTGAATGGAATATTTTGGCTGATGCGCCTGTGCCTCTTTTCATATTGTTGTCTTAAAAACAGGTTGAGGATTTATATCCTGTTGTGATGAGACTGAACGTGTTACTTTATGACACAAACTCTCAAAATATGCCAGTGGCAATTGAAATAGGACATTTTCCTTTCCGTTTTTATGTTCTCTAATATGGTAAAAAGTTATTTTGAATTATTGTAAAGCTTCGTTTTAAGAACTTACTTTGTTTTTAATTTCTACAACTTTTATAATCTTAAGTTACTGATTTTTTAAAGGAAATACATGTTCAGTATGGAACATTTAGAAACACTGAAAGAATATTAGTAATAGCTGTTAACATGCTTAGTTTTTTTTCTAGTTGTTTTTCAATACATGTACATTTTCACATATATATAGAAAACTGCTAATGTTCTTCACACAGTTTTGTACAATACTGTTTTTATTTAACTTTTTCATAGATTTTCTAATGTCATTAAAAAATACTTTCATAATATGTATCAAGGATTTTAAGAGTTCATAAATTCTAAGTTCATAAAATCTAAAAGATTTGAAGAATTTAAGAGTTAATAAAATCTAAAAGTAGATAGCATAGATTTATGCATAATGATGTTTATTGCTACATTGTTTAAGAAAATAGCAATTGTCTATATTTTTAATAACGAAAATATTTATGATAAACTGTTATATAACCATTGTAATAAAGCTTTTCTAGCTGAAACACAGGAATCCGATTGACTTGGTGATACAAGTCAGGTTATTGGCCTCAGTCCTTAACAACTAGAATTTTTCCTATAGCTGAAGGACCCAGGTGTCTGCCCTGCCTCCTGTCTCAGTTCCCCCTGAGTCAAGGACGCACTAAGGTACTTCGTGTAGTCCCTGTGTACTTTCTGCCCACTATTAGCATATAATACCTTAGTACAGAAATGCTAGAGACTAATGATATGTAATCCTCACAACCTCAGTTTATACTCTAACAGCCAGGCTACAGCTTTAGTTTTCATCAAAAGTTATGAAAAATCATTTCTGTTGCCCTAATATCAGTGTAATTTGAGGATTTGAAAGGCACTGCTTTGAATGAAGGAAAAATAAACTGAATGAGTAGGGAGAAAGACAAAAGAAAATATTTTCTGTCATTCTCTTGTATTTAAATTAAATGCTTTTGGACAGTCTTTGGCGTCATTAGTAGAAGTCTTGAGCTACATGGCCCATAGTTACTTCTGTGAGCTAATATTTCCATTATTTGTCATACAGACCTTCACATTCATCCTCTAACAAGGCTTTGGAAGTAACAGTTTGTAAGTGGAGGCACAGGGGAAGACACAGGGACTTGTTGAATCAACCTCTGTTTCTGTCATTTTACAGCTGTTATGATTTCCTATCCTGTTTGCTCCACAGAAGTAATAAGGTGCCTAAGGTACACAAGCCACTGAAAATAGGCATATTTTAATTTTCTTCTTTGTGATTTTGCCATATTAGAAGAACATGATGAAGAGAATAAAATCGTGTAACTTTAAAGAGTAGGCAGCCCATCATTTTTAATAAAGAGGAGTCTGTGTTATGGTTGGGCTACTGCTGTTCATAGTCATGCTTGATTTGATACAAAAGCAGGAGGATGTATTTACTGATTTTTAAACACGTGACTTAGATGGTTATTTCATGTCGAGTTCATGTGGTTCTTGCTCTATATGTCTTATCTAACAAGGGTAAGACTCATGAAGGATAGTACCCTGTGTTATATTTCTTTTTATTCCATTCAATGTTTTGCCTATTGTAGATGCTCAGTATATATTTATTTAATTAAAGGGTAAGTGAACTGAGAGAAGAAATACGCTTTATGTAAAAGCCAAAGTGCCCCTCAGGATTAAAGTGGGTGAAATAGATTTTGTTAGAGACTTACCTCTCCTTCATACCAAATATCCTTCAACATATACTGTGGACGCTTGATTCTTTCCTTGACCTTTGGTTTCTATAACATAAAAGATTTTTTTTTTATTGCATTTTGAGGATATATTAGCTGATACCACTCCACTTGAGTTCAATAGCAACATATTTTGTATAGTATCTTTCAGTCTGTTTTATTGTTATTTAGCTCCATAGCCAAATAGTAATTTTAAAACTTTATTTTGAAATTAGTAAGAATGAGACAAGCAAGTTTCACGTCCTAAAACATTTGTCAGCTTAGTGAGAGACTGAATAGGCAGACTTGAAAACAATCCACAAGATGTCAGCCTGGAGCCTACTTTAAGATATAACATGTCAACCCTAAGGAAATCATGCCTTTATAGTTTTTATCTAGCTTTTAAATGAATTTTTTAAGTTTTTTTTTTTTAAAGTTTTAAATAGAGATATTAGATATGAGATCCACAGGAAGCTGAGACTTATGATTTAATGGTAAGATATAGAGTTATTCTGTTGATGACACTTAGCATGGAAGCAGATTGCAAACTCAGATGAACTCAGGGTGTAGGAGAGTGGCTGAAACGAAAGCCAGTGGGGGGAAATGCGGCTACCTCATGAAGTGGTACGCCTCCAGCAGGACAGCTGCTATGCAGTCCTAGCATATTATTGCCACGTGGGAATGCAAACCTACTGATGCCATAGCTTTTGATATTTTTTTAAATTTGAAGTTATAAAACAACTTTTGTGAAAGTATATGACTTAAAAATACTGACTGGTTCAAGTAAGGTGCACTTGGAAATGATATGCAGCCCTTGGGCTACCAGTTTGCAGCCTTTGGCATATGTCTTGTATATAGTACGGACTCAGTAAATGTTCAAAGAATTGTGACTGCTTAGAAAACAGTAAAGGGCAAGCATTTTGATTTCCACTGTTTGTTTAGTTTCCCTGACACACTGCGAAATGATGATGAACTGTTTAGGAATTAACTAATAAACTTTTGGCTAAATGAAACTTGATGGGTAGAATAACCATGTGAAGGCGTTTTATTTTAAGTATGTTTATTGTATACATTTTGAATCATTTACTTTTATGAATCAGGGATAATATAGTTGAATTTTGGATTGTTAACTCTGTTTCTTAAGGTGATGCACTTAACTGATCTATGCTATATCCTTCACCTAAAGGAGATGCAGAAACTACCAGAGGCTGTTCAGCTGATTGAGAAAGCCAGCATGATGTATCTAGAAAACGGCACCCCTGACACAGCAGCGATGGCATTGGAGCGAGCCGGAAAGTGAGTATGCACAGTCTCTGTATAGAAGTCATTGTCTTTGTGTTTTAATAAAGTCCTTTGAAAAACAAGTTTTGTCTTTCTCATGTAAGTCAAATTTTCTCGTCTAATTTAGGCTTATAGAAAATGTAGATCCAGAAAAAGCTGTACAGTTATATCAGCAGACAGCTAATGTGTTTGAAGTAAGTTTGATTTTTATTTTTTATTTTTGTTTAAGAATACTTAGAATATTTAGATTTGTAATATGTAGGAAAACAGAAATGCAGCTATGTCTTAAAACTTTTCTGTACTTACAACTGAACTCTATTTTTTCTGTTAGATAGTAATGACACGGACTAGCAGTTTTGGTGTCATTTCCCCCGCCCCCCGTTCCCCTCGCCCTCCCTGCCCCAAATCCCCAAGTCAAGTGCCATTACTTTTTTATCCGATAATTATTGGAGGAAAAAAGCCCTGCATTAAAGCAGCCGACACTGTCTTTTCCTTGGTTCTTTCAGAATGAAGAACGTTTACGACAGGCAGTTGAATTGCTAGGAAAAGCCTCCAGACTACTGGTACGAGGACGCAGGTAAGTTTACTGAAACTGCTCATGTATGTCCATGTATACCTTTAGTTCATGTTTGGAACTATTAAGTACTTTTGGGATTGGCTTGTTAATCTATTTTGGTATAAGCAGGCCACACAGCAGAAAAACTGATGTCTATAAGATGGCACATTGAGTTAAATATTAAAAAAGCTGCTGTTTTTCCAAAGTGTAATCCCAAAATGTATCACGCATTATGCTTTTATTGGTTAAGAACTGGCTCAGCAGAATGAGAAAGAGCAGTTTTCTTCATCTGCTATTTAGTTAGACTATAATGTCTCTTGCTTGAGGAGGAATGTTTATGTAGGTATAGGTAACAAGGTGCCTTAAATGCTCACCCATGAAAATGGACAGCTTTTTGACAGCTAAATAGTATCACTAGATAATGTATTTACTTTTGTATCTTTTAAACATATGACCTAAGGCACAAACAACCGGACCCTAGAAACCTGGAATCCCTATTGAATTTTCCTTTTGTTTTTTACGTTATCTCAATTTTAGTAAACAATTTCTGTCATGAATAAAATTCTGTGTAATGACATTTAAGATAAACACCCTTAGTAAATGATAAGTCTAAAGATAGATCAAGATCATTTTAATTGAAATTTGCCCATACCTCTCCATATGTTTTGTCAAGGAATGAAAAACAAATGACTGAAGAATCTATTGATCTCTTCTTGGGATTGAGTTAAACTTTTTCTTCGTGGAGACTCAGTTTCTAAAATATAATTCAAACAGTTTTAGAGTAGTACCAGAATAAATTAATATAAAATTAATAATTATTAAACATTCTCATTTAAATATATGACTTTATAGGACCTTTTTAAAAATTAGATGACATTGGTTAACAAAATTATATAGGTTTCAAGTGTACAGTTCAACAGTATGTCATATGTATATTGTGTTTTCACCACCCGAAGTTAAATTTCCTTCTGTCAACATATTTGATCCCCTTTACCTTCATCTACCTCTGTCTCTGTCCCACTTCCCCTATGCTAACCACTAAGCTGTTGTCCATGTCCATGAATCTCTGTTTATTTGTCTTGTTCTTTTGTTGCTTTCAGTTTTATGTCTCATATGAGAGAAATCATATAATTCTCAACTTTTTCTGTGACTTATTTTGCTTAGCATGATTATGTTGAGTTCCATCCATGTTGTCACAGGTGGCAGTATTTCATCTCTTCTTATGGCTGAGTAATATTCCATTGTATTTATGTCCCATATCATCTTTATCCAATCCTGTCAAAGGATACTTCAGTTGTTCCCATGTCTTGGCCACTGTGAATAATGCTGCTATGAACATCAGGGTGCAAACATCTTTATGGATAAATGTTTTCAAATATTTTGGGTAAATACCCAAAAGAGAGATTGCTGGGTCATATGGTAATTCTAGTCTTAATTTTTTTGAGGAACCTCCATACTGTTTTCCATAGTGGCTGTACCAATTTACATTCCCACCAGCAGTGTATGAGGGTTCCTTTTCCCCCACAACATCTTCGACACTTGTTACCTATTTACAAGACCTTTTTCATTGATTAGTTTTTTTGTTGGTCTAAACACAATAACATTTTTATTTTGTTTTTAAATTAGGACTTTGTATTAAAATATGAGGCAGAATTTATAAATCAGTATTGAGGCACATTACCTTTATTCATCTTAATCTTGGCTTCTTAGAAATTAAAATGATTGAAATCTCTGGCAATTTCCAACTAATAAATGGTGTTCTAATAAGCTGAGTTTAGTCTCTGAAAGGATTTTCTATAGAAACAAAGCTGTTCATGGTGGTGGTCTCAGGCTCTTGCAGAATAGCTGAACTGAAAGATGGTACCTGGATTCTGACCCTTGTGAGCAGGGCCCCTGAACTATAGAAACAGGGAATGGTGACGTCGACCCTTTTAATTACAGGGCAGACAGGCACATCTGGAATCCTTTTACCTCCTTTTCTCACTATTCCTACCCCCAGTAGTATGAATCGAATGAGCAGCAGGAGTGAGAATGTTATGTGGCTATGCTTGAAAGGTGGACATTTATGAATCTAGGGCAACCAATAAGTCCTTTATTTACTTTATGAATTTGTTTTATTGCTTTTTTTCTTTTTAGTAAAAATACATTTAAAAATGATAGTGTTTTGTGCAGTGTTTGAACAAAAATTAATTTTATGAAAATATTTTTAAGTTGTGTAACAATGTAAAAATAGATTACAATTTACTCAGGAATATTAAGGAATTTGGTATTTGGAAAAGCGTTGCTGGGTGCATGTAGTATGAGAGAATTAAAAGTCAACTGCCACAGTAGTTCTTTCAGGAACTTAGGGAGTGTAGGGTAAGAAACACATGGAGAATCTGTACTAATAGAAAGGCAATTGAGATAATTTATGCGCTGTTTGAATATCTTGAATATATACTTCGATTACAATCTAATTTGATGCTATCAGTTGCCTAAAAGAACTAAAAGAGATGGTAATTTAATAATATTTAATAGAATGGCATGAAATTTAAAATTTTATGCTTGTTATATTTAGTTAATATGCTTATATTTCTTACATTAACTTAAGACTGTCAGATTTAATTCTAACTTAACAATAGTTAATGTCTTAGTGTTGAAGAGCTAAATAATTTATTTTATATGTTGATATTACTCTGCTTTTCTTTCACTTCTGGACAGTTGTAATGCAGATGTGAGTCAGATTTCATTTAGGTTGTATCTGGGAGGCCTGAAATCAGTCCTAGACCATTGCCTTTGTTCCCTCCTGGGAAAGGCCTTTTCAACAAGTTGATCAGACTTACTGTGAGGCTTTCTGTTCCTCTGCCTTGCAGAGAAGACCTAAGGTACCCTAAGGCAGTTGAGCAGATTGGCACACTGTGTGGGTGGCTCTCGGTGACCCTAATCTGGAGAGGGGCTTCTCAGAACTTTGCAGTGATTCTCAGAGAGGAGGATAATTAAACTTCCATTTTAGTTAACCACCCCACTCCAGTCACTCCCACTTGTAAGACTTTCTTAGTTTAAAAAAAAGTACTTCCCACCAGTTGTCTGAGACAGTTACATGATTCTAAACACAGGAAGGAATAGATGTACGTGTGAGGGGCGGGAAGGAACTCATTAAGGATAATCACTAGGTTTGTCTTGCATAACTGTGTCCTGTCCAGTGTGATGCCTAGGTTTATTGGAGAATGATGAAAAGCTCTGTTAGCAATACAGTGAATTGGCTGAAAAGTTTCATAGGTAGTTAAAAATATATTCTGCAGTTGAGGTAGTTGGGGCTGGAGAGAGAATTTTGAGTCATTGTGAGGGAGTGTCCATTGAAAGCTGGGGTTGAGTTGGGTCCTATGACAAATTCCTATCATATACACATAACTTTTGTAGGGCTTACATTTTGTTTTATTTTTGAATTACAGGAAAATGAAAATTCTCTTTTCAGCAAAACCAGATACATTTTATTTATTTTTTAGGAGTATTGAGAATTACCTCTGTGTTTCATTATAAGTAATAAATAATTTTCTGGATACATTGGGAAATAGGTGGCTTTATATGTCACTTTTATGGACTTTTAGCAAAGTTAATCAATATTTTTTTTAGCCAAACCAGTATAAGTACAATGTGTTTATCTTGGATGGCTGTTTTGCTAGGTAGGTGTTAGCACGTGGAAATGCTGTTTTTATGCCAAGGAAATAAATCATGTGTAAAGAATATAGTCTTTATAGCTAAATGTATGAAAAGCTTAAACTATTGAGATTTGTACTTGAAGGATATAATTGGGATATTGTGTTCATAGAATGTTGTGATGTAATTTTTTTTTTAAAACAGAATCTGTGATAAACTCATGGTCACAATTACAAGTGATACATTTAATCCTTCCATATTAATTTTCTATTTCTGCACAACAAATAACCACAATCCTAGTAGCTTAAAACCACACTCACTTATCGTCTCACAGTCTGGTATGTCAGAAGTCTGGCATTGTGTAGCCAGTTCCCCTGCTCAGGGTCTTCTCCAGGCTGAAATCACAGTGTCAGGTAAGGCTGCAACCTCATTTCAGGCTCACTGGTTGTTGGCAGAATTCCTTTCCTTGCAGCTATAGGACAGGTTCCTGTTTCCTTGTTGGCTCTCAGCCAGGGGCCACTTTCAGCTCTAGAGGTGCCTGCAGTTCCTTGGCATATACCCTCTGGATGGTTTACAGCATGGTAGCTTGCTGCTGCTTTGAGGCTGGCAAGAGCACAGCTGTCTTGACACCCAATCTATAACCTTTCAAGGGCTCACTGATTAGGTCAGTCCTATCTAGACAGTCTCTTTGAGTGAATGATTCACTCAAAGTCAGTTGTTTAGTATCCTACTCTCGGGAAGGATATCTCATATTCAAGCGGGGGGTTAAATAGGGAGTGTATATGAGGTAAGAGAATCTTGGAGAACTAAGAATTCTGCTACCATGCCCAATTTATAAACTGACTTTGTTCCTACAATTTAGTAAGTTGATCTTTGGAAATTCAGAATGCATTTCTCTAATGAGTCTTTTTTTATGAGACAGTAAATTCCAGAGCGCAGCCCACAAAGATTCAGTTTAATTCATAATATGAGTTAAACCACACCACTTATATGCAAATATTTTAAAAAGATAATTAACACAAAAAATAACTGCATCTTTTTTATATTTTTAATTTGGGTCACAGCAACATCTTTCTCCCTCTGTATCCTAATAGTGCAGACTGCTTCCCCTTTTTGGCTATTAGGATGAGAGAAATGGGTGAAGATTCCAAAATTCATCCAGTCAAAAGATGCTAGTAAAAGAGTCCTGGAATTGAGTATAGTACAGCTTACAGAGGTGAGGCTCTGATTAGAGTTTGATGGGATTGGGGCTGGGAGGTAAAGAGGTAGGGCCTTAGAGGATCAGAGGAAGATTTTTGGTGATCCTTTCCTCTTCATTCTGACATCTGAGTGGGGTGGAAGAAAAGGAAAATGTGTGAAAGTAGATGGAAAAAGATGAATGTTGAGGCTCAAAGGTGACAGGAAGGACTTTTTGTAGCCCTCTGCCTGTCCGCCTTCCGCTGCCGCCCTTTTCGGCACCAGTGCTGTTAGGGCTCACCTAGGGAGCAGTGGAGTATGCGACGGTGTGGACAGAGTGCTCCTGTGATGTCTGGATGGAAGGAAAGATATCTGGGATGATTAAATTGAGGGTTGCCTTTCTAATACATTTCACAAATGTTAATAAAGCAGTTTGTCGAATTCAATAGATACCAACTAATGAATGATCCTTACCAAATTTAAAACTCTCTATTTGAAGTAACCTATCCATAGTTCTTTTGCTTTGTCTGCTTGACTCCTAAAAGGGCAAGTCGAGCATTTACTAAGACAAGCCATATGAGCAGAGCTCATGGAAAGGTGGGTTACAAAGCAGTTGCTAAACTGCCTGATAACTTCTTTATTTCTCTATAATCTGTAATATCAAATGCATTACAGGAATGACCTCTGCTATAGATTTAGACTTGCCTTGTTTTACATTTCTTTGTCTTTAGATTTGATGAGGCGGCTCTCTCTATTCAGAAAGAAAAAAATATTTATAAGGAAATTGAGAATTATCCAACTTGTTATAAGGTATGTTTTGAAAGTGCTTATTTTTGGCTTTACTTAGGTAATTTTTCATATTGGTGTAACCATGTACTTATGACCAGATTCCATGGATATTTATTTTTAAAATAATGCTTTATAGGCTTCTTTTTTTGGCCAAGATGGAGTAAGCCCACGGTAGCCTGTCTCTCCTGCTGATCACAGTAAAATTTCTGGACAGAATATATAGAGCAATTATCCTCGGACTCTGAAAAGTAAATAGAGTAGGAGGACTGTGGAGGGGAGTGAGCACTTGGAGAAGCAGCCAGTACAAGAGTGGGTTTCAAGGGTTTTTCCCTATCTCTTTTACGACATTGACTTGAGCCCCAATTATGGAGCTGGGCAGCAGAGGTTCCAGCAGCTAAAACTTTTAAAGAACCATCTATCCCATCTTCTAACCAGAGGAACTGAGAAAGGAGGCCCCATTGTTTTCTCCCTTGGCTTTGCTCCATAGAAATGATTGTGCGGCTGGTCATATAGCTGTAGTCATAGAGCTACAGCTGTGGTGGTGGCACAGGCAGATAGAACACCAAAGGAAACCCAACCTCTTTGGCCAGAGGAATTGGGAAGATAAGTTAAGACAGCAAGGAGAAAACCCCAGAAAGGGGAGCTGGAATAGGGAATCCCGAGTGAGGGAGTGAGTGTACGCACACGTGCCCACACAAGTCTTGGTTTTACTCTGCAGCTGTACATGTGTGGGTCAGATCTAGAGCAGTGGAGCATAGGCTTTGAGAACTACAATAAGATTAAACCACTGTCCAGGGCTCATAGCATCTTTGAAGGGCTCATGTGTCGGGTAGAGCCCAAGCAGCAGAGCAGGGAACTATACTAAGACTAGAGCCAGTGTCCATTAAAAGCAGATAGAATATGCAGTCTGAGCCTGACGGGGTGATTGCCTTCTGGAAATCCATCTCTCCTAAGAATTATAGGAGGGTCTATGCAGTATAAGATTCAGTGCCCAGGATACAGTCCCAAATTACTCCACATGGAAAGAACCAGGAAAATATGACCAGTTTTCAGGAGAAAAGATAACTGATGCCAACCCAGTTATGACCCAACTGTTAGAATGATCAGATCAGGACTTTGAAGTAGTCATCATAACTGCTATAAGAGGCAAAGATAAACACAGGTGAATGAATAGACAAAAGGACTGATTTTTTTCAAAATAATATAAATCATAAAAATGAACTAAATGAGAACATTAAAACTGAAAAAGCAGTGTCTGAAATAAAATACTGCCGTAGGCTTAATGTGATAATGGAGATGACAAAGAGTAAGTGAATGTGAAGATCAATAAAGTATCAGAAAAATAGAAATAAAAAGATTGAAAAATACTTTGTGAAGAGCTATTTTACCCATAAGAACTTATAGTCATATCTTCGATTTTATTAATGCTTTTGTTGCCTTATAAATGGTATCATTGCTTCTGTTATTTGGTTTTCATTCATTCCACTTTTCCTAGTATCTGTTTAAGAATTCCAAAGTATAATTGTAGAGTTATGTCCTCCCTTTTTTATTCTCTTTTCAAGATTTGACCTGTATAGATATTTAAAAGAAATTTTCTTTAAAATGTGTGATGGCGTTCTAAGCCTTTGTTACTCCAGGTGTGGTCCTCAGACTGGCGGTATCAGGACCACCTGGGAGCTCGTTGGAAATGGCAGAATCTCAAGCTTGCTGCGGGCCCACTGAATCAAAGTCTTCATTTTAAGAAGACCCTTGGGTGATTTATGTGTACATTAGAGTTTGAGGTGTACGGCATATCAGGATATTTTCCCTCAGATGTCCTGTGGAAGTTACTGTAGAATTTATAAATCTCTTTATTTAAAACCAATACTCAGAAAGTTAAATTCCAGATGTCAGGAAATTGACTTAAATTGATATAAATTTTGACCATAATCACTTGTTTTGTTTTAGAAAACAATTGCTCAAGTCTTAGTTCATCTCCACAGAAATGACTATGTGGCTGCAGAAAGATGTGTCAGAGAAAGCTACAGGTAAGATGTTGACAGCATTGTCTTGACTTGCAATGTTAACATTTCTATAAATCTGAGATAACTGCTTAGACAAATATTCCTGGTCATGAAACTTTAAAAAAAAAATAAATTTCACAGTGATAAAAGCACTTAACTACCATTTCAGCTTTTACAGCAGGATTTTTACAAGTTGTGTTCTTTTGTGTGTTTTTCTCCTGAGGACTTCCATGAGCATGGATGATTTGCATGATTTTGTTATATTTGCCTTCTAAGGAAAAAAGAACAAACAAAAGTAAAGTTTGCAAAATGTGTTACAGGAAGATCAGAATCGGGGCTTTTCCTGTTAGAGATATTTAAAATGAGCAGTCTCAGTCTGGGCACTGTTGACATTTTGGGCTGCATAGTTCTTTTTCTTTGGGCCTGTCCTGTGTATTGTACACTGTCTAGCTGCATCCCTGACCTCTGCCCACTTATAACAATTGAAAATATCTCCAGATGTTGCCAAACACCAGCTGGGATGCCTAGTTGAGAGGGAACAGGTGCGGATGTATGATTTTTTCTTGCTTTAGCATTCCAGGGTTCAATGGGAGTGAAGATTGTGCTGCACTGGAACAGCTTCTAGAAGGATATGACCAGCAAGACCAAGATCAAGTGTCAGAGGTCTGCAACTCACCACTTTTCAAGTACATGGACAATGATGTAAGTGGCCTTTTTGTTAGCTTTCTTCTTTCCTCTTGAATGGTAGAGGCTTCTAGTGAGATATTTTTCTCCTATAGACTTATGAGATTTTCTTCCTCTATTTTGTTTTTTGTTTTACCTCAGGATACCTTTCAAAAGGGAACTTGGCATTTACTCTGAATGTTGCTGTAGGTTTAGAATGTTCGAATGTCAACCATTGGGTTTACAGCCAGTTATTATCCATCTACCTGTGTTAATCATGTGTGTATTTTTTAATTCATCCCCATTTTTCAGCTTCCATCTGTTGACGTCTATGGGTTGCTTAGTTTAAGTTTCTTTTAGGCTCACTGAAAGAGACCCATCATACAGTAGCCTCTGTAATTCAGTGTACTTGTTGGAATCCCACTTCTATGACAGCTAGCTATGTGATGCAGGTTATTAATTAACTATCTGTAAGCCTCAGTTAACTCATCAGAAGAAATGGTCCCTGTCTTCTCAGCTTGTCATAAAGAATAGACTAGGCCATGTTTGCAAAACAGCCTCCTACGGTTCCATACACAGAAAGTGAGCTGTGATAGTGGGTTTCTCTTCTTTCAGATCTCCCTTTTGAAGTAAATTTGTGAGCACCTGTTCATTTGATTTGGTCTTGCAACTTTAGGTTTTGAAGGTCTTGCAAACCTTTAATTTTTTTTTATCACAGTGTATATAGAAGAACCATTTTTTTCCTGGGTAAATTCTTAATAGGCTTTTATAAATTTGTATATTTTCTTAAAGAATTGTCCGTAGCTTACACTCTTCATTTATTCAGCAGATCTTTATTTTGTAGGAACTACAGATATTACTTAACATGTCCTAATTATCTCAAATTCCTAAGCGTGGTGTATAATTGACATTTTTGCTAGTTGTGTACTTGTCACGTCATGGTTATGAGCCATCTGACAGCAGAGCAGTGTTGACTTTTGTCATGATTGTTTTTCCTTCTTAAGTGGTAGTATTGGTTTTTATGAGGTAGAGAGCTGGGAACTACCTTTTATTCTGTTGTTGAGACATCACCTACGGAGATGTTAGCTGTCCAGCTTTTGAGAACATGCTTTGTCATTGACAGTATGCTAAGCTGGGCCTGAGTTTGGTGGTTCCAGGTGGGGGAATCAAGAAGAAAGCGGCAGCAACACCACAGGCTAAGCCTGAAGGCACCACTGCGACTGCTGCTGAGGAAGACGAAGATGAATATGCAGGAGGGCTGTGCTAGACTTTACCGAAAGAAAGGAGAGAATCCGGACACGCCATTCATGGATTTGGAACTTATCTAAGGAACTTATTCAGACTTCAGTGCAGTCATGGTTTTGAATACTAATAAAGACTGATTTTTTAGTTACCATTTCCCCCAATCACCCATTTTAACCACTACCTGTAAAGTTTTTTTCTCTTTCCATAAGAGCTTTTCTAAGACAGCAACAGGAATTAACAGAAAAAAGTGGTCACATTTAAATACAGTTGATTTTAAAGTTTGCAAGCCAAATTCTAGACTCATTATGTTCTAAATAAAAGGGACAGTAGGCATAGCTATTTTTTTCTCTTGGGCTCTTGTAATTTATTGTTAAAGATTGTTCTTTGCATTTTCTTTAATAATTGCTGCTAAAATTGAAGTTTGCTAGTTAAACAAAATAGTATTTTAAACAATTGTTTTGAAAAGGATATTTATTCCCCATGATATTAGGTACATTTAAATTATTAAATCTTTTCAGATGTGAGATTGGGACAGAAAGCTATTTTCAGCCTTATAATATTATTTAGCCCAATACAAGATGCATTTACCATCTTAGACGTGAATTTGAAAGTTCCCAAGATAGCATATGAAAGTTATTCTGTAAATGTCTTCCATTTCTCTTTGAAATATGGGCATTCTACCTGAAAAAACACTGAGTGACTGTCTCCAAACCCATTTGGTTCTTAACTAAGCAGGAACTAATGTGGACCTTTTTAGGCATTCTAACAGAGGCAATGTTCCTGTCAATCTATATATACATTTTTTTCCCTCCAAAAAATTCTGATTCATTTAGACTTATAACAGAGCAGTAATTTGACATGAGAGATGCTATATGCCACAAAAATTTAGCTGAAATGGAAGAATTATTTTGAAGTACTTATATTTCAAGTAGTGTGCTACCAGTATTTTGATCCTCTAAAAAGCCTATTTTAAAGCATTCCTCTTTCATCCTGAATGGCTTAGACCCATCTCCCAATCTATTAATTAGAAAGAGGCTCCAAACACCAGCAGTATATACTCTGCAGGCAGACACTACCCAAACTGGTTTCCTGTTCATTCCCAACCTGTCTCTCTTCATAGAGTCCTACCTGATGCAAGTACACTGTGCTTAGTTTTGCTAGGCTTCCTGAAAACACTAAGGTAGATTATCACAAGTGGTCTTAGTTGCAGTTGGTTACTTGGGAAAGCTTAGAATAAGATCTTCATATGGCAGGTGTGTTTGGGTTGGGCAGATGTTGTGATGGAAATTTTTATTGAAGAGCTCATTCAAAACTAATAAATTTGACATTTCGATTCCTAAAGTTACTTGCATAG